AAAAAAACTTCGATCATCATTCCTTTGACTTTATCAAATTCTTGGCCCATCCTTACGTCTAACTTTTTCAGGAAGTTCACTACGCCTCATAAAATATTGCATATTTAACTAAGTCATCGCTCCTACGGAACGCCTGAATACGACGTAAATCATTTGTAAATACGATAATGTTGGCTATAAATAAAAGTAATTAGAGCAATGAACATTAACCGGAAGGCCGGTCCTCCCCACCCTGAGGCAAAGTCTCGAGACTGACGAACACCTGTCCCAGATCAGCGAGGTGGATTAGACAGGGAAAAACGTAAAAATAACCGAACGAAGCGAAGAGTGATGTGATCGAGAAGGATGTGGTTAGAAAATAAAGTGTGCCGGCGAAGGGTGAAGGCTTCGAAAGTCTCTAAAACCTTGTAATCGTCAAATCTACCGTAAAAACCGTAGATAGGCGTTTTTTTTTTGAAACGGAGAGTTTCATCAGAATTAAAGAGTGTTTAAAAACAAATTTTCTCGAGATTCGAATTCAAGCAGACCTTCAAAATTCAAATAAAAAAGCGAGTTAGCAATCCTATATATGACTTGCAAAGTAATGTCATAAAATTTGATGTAATAATATGATTAAAGTACCTCCAAAAACTTCCATAAAACATCCAGAAATAGAAGTAACCCCATTCCTTTTTTAAAATATATTATGCTTTAAGGCTATTAAGTCGACCTTTTATTATACTTCATAAATTTTACAGCCTACAAGACTTGATTACCCTTTGCCATGCAAATCTTATTTCTAATAGCCATTCAACAGTCCTTATCCAAGAGAAATGTAGTATGCTAAGAACTAATCCTATCCACAACTATGCCACTTTGCTACTCCAAAAAAACAAACACACAAAAGAAATATGAAGTCATTATGTTCGGCGGGCATAAATCTCGGTGTCTAAAGGCCCTGAGCGCCTGAGTAATGGCCTCATGAAGTTGAACACAGATCCGCTTTCATCTCCAAAAGAAATGAAAAAATTTGAAAATGGAGAATAATTTCGAAGGCCGCTTGATCACTCAAAATGTCAGGTGAACGTGTGTCGTTCAATCATCGCAACTCTCTGTCAAGGGCTAAGCGGATCAGGATGGGGCAAGATCGATGTTGTCTAATCAGGCCGGATAAGAGGGCGAAGATCAAGAAAATAACTGTGTTTGCCAAGTTTATGCACTTTTTGCGTCGGAATCGGCGCAAAAAGTGGTATGATCTTCGGCAAGAAATAAGGCTGAAGAAACGCTTGCTATTATGAATATAATGTTTCTGTCTTAAAATTGGTCTTATTAGGTCATAAGTCAAAAAGATATGACAAAAAAATACTATTTTCGTCTCTCCGGCTCCTCTCGTTTGTGTACAACATTGCGTGTGTCTCCATTTTATCTGAAAATTTTCTCATAACAACCAAAAGACCTCAGCTTGTAAATATTAGTCACAACCCACGCAATATCGGATGAAAAATCACTGTTGTTTATGTCATCGGATATGACAAAGGGGAACGTTAAACTGTGAGCTCATAACACGTAAGATCAAAAAGAGAAAAAGGCACTTTGAAAGGGATAAACATGATAATGGAAAACATTGATTTGTGAGACCTATAAAAATTGGTCGGATTGATCTTATATTGAACTAAAACTTTCATTATACACACTATCACATGAATTCAATATTTTTTGATCTTACAGTGATAACCCATACATTTCAAAAGAATTTTTACAACGCAACTGCCAATCTATTTTTAATTTAATTAATTGTAAGTGTTCCTCGATTCGAATCCAAAAAACAAAGCTGCCAAAAACAGGGCCGGCTCCTCATAAAATTCCCAATAAATGCCCCCAAAATTTTCCTTCGCCCCATTCTTGGAAGTGGTGCAATTGGAATGCCCTTATTGAAAACCGTATGTTCGAAAATTTCTTCGCGTCCTCAGAATATCCTGTTTCGATGTAGCGTGGAAATGACAGAAGAAAATTGGGTGATCAAGGGTTTGTAGACTTGAGATATGGCTGAAAAAAGTGGGCTACGTATATGAGAAAGGAGTAAGAAAAGGAAGGCAAAGTAATCAAGGTAATGCCCTTGAAATGGTACCTTATATTCGTCCGATTTTCGGGAATTACCAGTCTACATAGACAGCAGATTTAACAAAAATTTCAGACATTGTTATGTGATCATGGCCTGAAATATGTGCAAGATTAAGCAAGATATTCAAAGAATCCGCTGACAGTTGGCGGTCGCGAAAGACCGCCAACTTGTCTTTTCATGAATGGTTCTACTGTAGCACTACCTCCCCTCAAAACAACCCTGTAGCAATCTGAACCCCCAAATCCTTAACTATCCCCCAAAACCCTCTCCCACGCTCTCCATTTTTAAGTCGTTTAAGCCTTCGGATTATTGAGTTTGCGTCCAAAAACAGCGGTTCCAAACGGTCTAACTTGCAAGCCTGAGGCTATGCTGACGACCACGAGGAATAACCGTTCAAATTCTGCACTTTTCCCGGGCTCAATTCTAATCAAAATTACTAATAATAGGCGCTGTAGCACTGTCCTTTAAGGGTTCAAACAGCTTTCGTGTTGGGACCGCAAATTCAAAATTCGACAAAAAAGAATTAAAATTTTATAATAAGCATTGGGCGATGTTTACTATAAGAAGTCCATCAAAATATTATTAATAATATCGCTTCAGCCATGCAAAATGATTAATCTAGTCTCGAATTTAGCCGGGAAATTTGATATTTAAAAAGGACATGGGCCGAAATTTCACTGATGAAGTCAGAGTTATCAAGTCCGAAAGCGCAAGACTATAAAAAATGATTTGCAGCGCAAAAAGGTCGAATTTTTGGCCAAGTTCGAGCTAAAAATCTTTCTGTTTTCTGAAAAACTCGGGCTCAGAATGTTGGACAAAAAAGGTCACAGTTTTAAAAATACTTTCGAACAGCAAAACTCGGCTTTTAAAATAATGACAGAGTCCTTTGAGAACAACTATGAGCCGCAAAATACAAGGGCGTTTTTCGCGGCATATAATTTGAATACAACTGCCAAAATATTTTTTCTAAACGGTTCACTAAACTGCTCTGAATTTGGGTGAGCAAACACCACTTTTGCATTTTTTGCCAGATCGCGTTCTCGATTATTTTGCGCGTTTTCTAAAAAAAAGTAATTAAAAAAGTAAGACCGTAGAAGAAGCAGTTATATTTATAGTAGCGCCGCTGGAAATAGGAACGCGTATGTTAACTGCCACAGTTAAATTTATGAGGATGCCGTGAGGAAATGGCGTTTGAAACATTCGATTTCGGAGAGGAGAAGTGCATGAGGAATTTAAAAAATTATGACATATAAAAAATTCGGATTTCTTCCTTAAATGTTGCCTACAATGTATACAAGATACATAAGATACACACAAATTTTTGTAAGTTTTAGCTAACAATGTACACTGGCTGCTGAGATATCGAAAATCATATCTTTTGCGGAGTACGCGAAATTCGGTGAAGAGAAAAAAAACTTCTTGCGCCGTATCTCTGAAAATTTTAGGCGGAAAAAATTATTCTTTTGTGAAGACGTTGTTTTCTTCATTCTAAATAAGAACGAAATTCTTCATGTATGCACTCTGAGCACTTGCCCTCGAAAACAAAATCCCTTCGGGGTCAACGCCCAGAATTCGTTTTTGCCAAAGTTTGTCTAATTTTGAGACAACAAGAAAAACTTAATGGAAATCCTGGATTACCTCTGTAAAAGCTGATTGTAACTTCACAGAAATTTATTATAGAATGTGTAAACTCTTAATCGTGAATGTGATATCATTAATTTCTCTCTCGCAGCCAATAAGCTGACGCTTTTCCAACCACCCTTCCTATTATCCCCATTTCCAAAAATTCAAATTCCTGACACTTCCGGTAGCTTCTCGGAACTCCCCGTGCGTTCGTGCTCAAGGCACTTGGCCCGGACTCAAAACTTTTTTCGGACCTGGCTACTCTCGGGCCTCCTCCGTTTGAAACTCGACGTAAAAAGGGAACGTCCGCAAATTGGATTAGAACCCCCTGGAAGAATGGTGGGATGCTGAAAGGAATCCCTGATGCCCGGCGTGTATAATGAACAAAAACAAAAACCAGAAGACAATGTTCGGCGAGGTAATGCGGTTAGTGCCTGCAGGCGTTTTGTCAGAAATTCGATTTGAATCGAGCAACGCGATCAAATCGAAGTCCAATGGCGGAGGAGGAGGAGGGGTGGGAAAAGAGCTTTAAATTGGGTTAGAAAAGGCTTTTTATCGTTGAAAAGGTGCCAAGAAAATTGTTCAAATGCTCTTCACGAATTTCTTGTTTCACCAGTAAGTCAATTTTTTTCCTATGTGGCTCCAAAAAAGCTTCTTTTGCTCTATTAAACTTCTTGTCAAAATAAGCTTTTCTCCGCACGGTAGGTTATGGAAATTAGATAAATTTGGCGGTCCCAGAGGAGAATGGCTTTATTCCGTGCGTGGTTTCAGCCACAAGATGTAGGCTAATATTGGAAATTTTGCGTAAATCAAATTCCAGAGAGCACAAAAGCCATTTAGACATTGTACATGGTGAGCTTTATGAGTCTTGGCAAAGAAGAGAGGGTTTGAAGAAAAATACGGAGCTATGAATTGCAGTTAGCTGTTGAACAATTACAGTAGACCAAGCTTGTGCATTGTAGACCCAACTGTCCAAGAAGTACGGCAAGAGGGGACCAAAAATTTAAAGTTTTCTCAACTGGTTGGTTTAATAACTTAATTATGGTCTTCATGTTACAGTAAGTCACTAAAAATTTCAGAAAAGAGACAAGAAAATCAGACTAGATGTCAGGCCCAGTTTCTACAAATTCTAATCGGGGTTTCTCGGTTAGCCATACATATGAATTCAAGTGTTGCCAAGCCGCTCTCTAATTCCCTCGTCACTAATTAGCCATATCTCCCCAAAAAAAACATACCCTCAAGGCCATGGCGTTTTATTCCTTGTCATAAAAAGTGTCTAGTCACGGAGGGCGCTTCCCAATTTCAGAAAAGAAAATGGAGGCGGATTCTTGGAGACCGACTTCTGGACGGAGCGGAAACGTCGCGGAAAGGCCCCGACGCGATGAGCCATTGAACGGCGAAGAAGTTGAAAAGAAGATGGCCCGGCGCCTCGATTGGAAAATAAATATTTCTGGACCGCCGCCGACAGATTTGCATGAGCTGTGGTCGGGGAGGAACGGGATCCAGCTCCGTTCGAAAACTCGGCTTTGTTTTGGAACGGAGCCGGGATGAATAGGAGAGGAAGGGGATTTTGGACACGGATATACGGCACAAACATGAAAAACAGACTCCGAAAATAGGGATACACGGATGAAATCAGGATGAACGTGGATTTCGTGTTCTCTTCAGCCCAAAAGTTCAATTGAACTACTCGCGCCATAAAGTTCGCGGATGTGGCGTGCAAAAAGTGGAGTGAGCTCGTGAAAGGGCACGTCGCAAGTGCAAAAACGTGGGATCGCCGAAGATTCTCGAGAAAATCAGTGTGCTAATTTTTGGGACATTGTGGGATGAGTTGTATGTTAAAATATTAGATGCAACGCCAAGGGTCAAAACTGATAAATGAGTTCTCGAAAATTTCAACAGAAAACTCTGAGATTTTCGGGGTTAAGGTAGTACAAACCCCAGTCCAGTTCAGACCCCCATGGCCCAGTACAAACCCCCATCATCCAAACTGCAAAAGTGTGTCGTCAGTAAGTTTTTTGGAAGATGCTGTCGGAGCTCTAGACAACGGATCATCGTTGCTCTAAACGTAGGGGGGTTGATCTAAAACGTTGGGGCTTGGATGTATATTTGGAACGGGCAAAACAGTGGGGTTTGAATTACCTTTCCTGCAGGGTTGAACTCGGAAAGCCCCAGGTTTTCAATGACCAATAGGATGGAGACGCTATAAGAATGCCGAGCATGACAGTAGACCATGCAACACCGACTTTTTGAACCCGGGATTCGTCAAATAATCTGTTGTATTCTTTATGGCGCCTTCTCCCTATAAGAGGCGACAGATTGAGGGTAATAAATCCTAAGACTCTGCCTCTTGGCTCAATCAAAGTACCACTATTTTAAACGACTTCAACAAGGAGGAATTTTAAGAAAGGCCTGATAATAAGCAGTGCTTTTCCGCGTGCGAATTTTGCAAAGGAAAGATTGTCAGGATTTCCCTGAATTCTAACAATTCCCAAAAGTCTTCGTTTGCTTCCTGTTTTAAGGTCAAAGATTGCCCCACATCACCGTAAGCACATGTCTGTTTACTCCCGACGAGCCATCAAACAAATTTCATTCATAGAAACTTTTTAAACCCAACGTGTCCCATTTTATTGAGTGCTCCCATCTTCTTGATATTCTGCGGATGGTTTCAGTCGTCAAAAAATTACTTTGTATTCTTCGGATATGGTGAGTTGGTTGATGGAGAAACGAGGTGAATACGTCTTACCAACTACGATTATCGACGGTAATTGAGGAAAGTTTTTTCTGATAGAGAAATTTATTTAACATGTCTGATGTCGCTAATAGGTATTTTATAGTGATTTTTGAGAAATTTAGGTCACAATTTTAATATATGACCTATCTGCGAAAGAGATATACAAAATTTTTGTTGACTATTTTCTGAAAAAATCGCTGACACTCAACCTCTCTCATTCTCTCCCACAGTTTCTCCATTTGAACCGTAACTCAATAAATTAAGCCTAAAACTGTTGAGAAATGAGGCCAATCCTGTCTAGACGTCTTGGCAAAAGTTCAACAAATTTTACGTGCATCCCTCTAACATTAGTAATCAAACAAAATTTTGCAATCGGAGCAACTCCCCAACCCGTAAATATTTTCTGAAGGCCTACAAAAACGTGACCACATGCCCGACCCCCTTTGCTTGCTATCTAATCTTCATCAAAGCCAGGTCTGATCCCAAAAATATCCCCTTCAGCAACCCGAGAGATGCGCACGAAAACTGACACGCGGATGACATGGGAACCAGTAATAGACAGAATCCGCCCTTCCTAACACGACCGTCCTAACACAGAGAATATTTTCCATTGAACCCAACCGACTCCTCAAATTAATCGGCCTCTTTTCATTTATTTGCGGGACAAACAAGAATAATGACGTGTGAAAAAATATAATTTGCCGGTCCGAACATACCACGACAAAAATATCATTACTGTTACGCAATTAATTTATTCCGATCAATGACCGCAGACGAAACGGGATCGAAATGAAGAAGAGGGGAGACAATTGGAAATGCAGGGAAATGGGGATGTCTGGCGAACGGGACGAGCTCGCAACTAGGTAAAAGAACTTTTGGGACAATGCTCAGTGCCGAATGGAGGAACAGAGTACAGCAGATTACTGAGTAATTGTTAATTTCAAGTTCCTTTACTTATAAATTTCACCCTTTCCTTCGGAAATCACTGATCCTCCCACTTTTTTTCTTTTTTTTGAGGTTTTTTCAGACGTAAGACAAATTTCTTCCGCTTCAAGTGCGTTGATACGACTTCCTTTATGATATGACTTCCCATGGCGTTAATCAAATTTTCCTGGGGGATCCGTCGCAAAAAAGCAATCTGTTTTCGCGGCCAAACAGAGTTATTATAAGCACCCGGCGGAATGTCAAAAACATATGGTCATAGAACGCGCGGACACTCGAACAACGTCCCATGAATAAAAAATTGAATAAAGGCATCACTACAGAAGTACGTGATAAAAAGTAAATGGGCAAATCAATTGTTGGCAGGAAGTGGAGGAGGCCCTGACTTCACGTTGTTTTTTGGGGGCGTGTTGAAGAAATTACCGACTTGTTTTGGCTTATATCTCGTGCCAGGAAATTAGCAGAAACAGTCTTTGGACTAAACCTCAGGAAATGCAAAGACTAAAAAACAAAAAAATTAAAATTGAAAATAATTTAGTAGGCAGTCTAACAAATGTTGTCGTTTTCGAGAGGGGCAGTTTCCAAAGTCTATAAAAAAGATAAACGACAATAAAAATTCGCAATAAACAATAAGCGTGTTATAACACATGGTGATTATTTTGACCAAAAATATCTTCGTTCTCACGGTAAATTTCTTTGTACAGAAAATCTTTTGAAGAACGACAATATTTCTTGGACAACCTAATACAGGGTGCGGCAAAAAAATGGAAACTTTTTTCATTGGGTCCTGACGCAAAAATTTTTAAGTGCAGCAAAATTATTTTCATACCATTAAATTCTACGTAGCTTTCTCTCCTAGACCTTATAATTTCATGTCCATATCGGTTTATTAACATTATTTTTTTGAATGACAAACAGAGGGACCTCGATTTCGGACCTGTTTTTTTACCTGTGCGAACTGTTAATTTGCCCGGCATAGAAAGCATGTTGTGTCCAAAGTAATCACACAATGCAGGGAGCTTTTTGACAATTTTAAGCGTCCAGTAAGCGAAAGAAAACGCACCGCCAACACTTCTGCCAGCCGCGGAGTCATCAATAGCGAAATCCGTCGATTTCGAGAAAAAATTGCCCGTGAGACCGGCATCAGCGACCGACCAGTCGGCCAAATAGCTAAGAATCAACTCAAAGTCTCCCCACGCAAGGTCTGAAATGCCCAACTCCTAATCGGCAAGATCAAGCCCGTACGCCTGAAAAAATGCCGAAAATTCCGACGTCGGGCCGCAGGTCCGCGATGGGAGCGCATTCCCTCCGCGGTGCAATCTTTGGCGGGTGCACAACCAACAGAACGTAATAGTCCAATCCGATGAGGCCCCCTGCACGTCGGCTAACGACGAACACCGTCAAAATAAGGGCCGTCATCGCCTAAGGCGGAATTTATGCCAGCGGCAAGAATTCCGAGATTTTCGTGGATCAAGCGGGCAAAATTCTAGCGCCGGATTAACTTCGATTTCTTCGTGCTTCTGTTGGCTCAGTAGAACCTTGGCAGCGCAAATTTGACGTTCCAACTAGACTCAGCGCCGACTCACAGGGGTTTCCCCGAAAAAAGCTGCGGCCAAAAGGCCAAAATTTTAAGTCACGTTTGGAGCTCTACATCGCCACCAAAAGCAGCCACGGTAAAACGGGTTGAATATGTCATAAACAATGCTCTATGTTATTGAAGATGACCGTTACTTTTGCGGAATTTGGATTGCTAGGAAAAATATAGCTATAAAAATAAGTTTCCATTTTTTTGCCGCACCCTGTAGATGATAAATAAGCTTCCCCAAAACTACGTATTTCTAACGCTCCGATTTCCAGGAAATATAGCCAATGTAATCTACCTAGAGTCCACATCGATTACTGACAGTTTCAGCAATTTTAAAAGCAACCGAAATATTCAGCTATCTTTGCTAGTGAGAGAGTGAAAAAATCAGAAGAAAAAACTTAATAATATAAAATTACTGCCTGGAAGAAATGGACATTTTGCAGGAACGTCCTAACATATGCAATGTTACGCAATCGTACCTCGAATGGAATTTGAAAGCGCGCATTAAAAATTTAAGAAATTACTGTTCTTGAGGCCAAAGTTTTATAAAAAGGATCGTGTTGGACCTTCTTTTGGCAAATTGAAAACCAAAAAAATTTGATTTTGACTCACAAATATGTGTAATATCTTCGTTTTAGAAGTAAAAGTTCACCAGAACCTTGCCCAACTACATATGTGTAATATATTAAACGCACTCCACAAAAGTTTTCACGCCTACCCCTCTGTGCTTCACGCAAAACACTGTCAATTATTCAGCCTGATTGCTGATTCGACCATGCCTAATTGGTACGCGGAATTCGCTCCAAAGTAATTTCATATCCAATATTTCCGGTTAAGTGGAAAAAACCCTTGATTAAAAAACGGCGCGCCCCAATTCCCAGTCCAATCCCGATTTATCACGCGCCCTTTTTTATTACCGCCTTGGCCGAAGAATGGAGTAAAACTTTTGTGTTTTCGCCAACCCGGAACTTTTTTGTTTTTCCGGAAAACAACGAAATTTTTGGCCAGATGAGTGAATATTTTTTGCCAATAATTTTTTAATGGTAATTTAAAAAGCAAAATTTTTGAAAATGTTTGAAGTTCAAGTGATTGAAAAGTTGGCAACATGATGACAAATGGGGACTTGGGAATAATGCGTGCCATTCCGAATTTTTAATATTTTTTTGCGGAATTAAAACGATGGGTCTGCGGTCAAAGTATCAGAAATTAAACATCGTGGTCAGAAAAGGCAGGAATGTCAAAATTGAAAGTATAAAGATTAATTCTTTGTCAGCTAAAGGTCAGAATTCACAATAAGTTTTGTTGTAAAACCCTTGACATTTTGCCATTCAAAGCCGCTGGAATTTCAAAAAGATTTCAGGTCGAAGAAGCAAAGATATGGGCACTCTGCTTGACGAGTTGGTACAAGGTTTCTATAACTTATCTCTTCTTTTGTTAACCTTTTTTCCCAGCTCCACACTCCGCAGTATCCGCATTATATTGCTTTAAAAGACTACCGAAAAGCTTGCCTTTCTCTGCAAAGCAAAAGCTAAAATTTTTGGAAAACCTCACATAGAATATTTACAGTACGTATACAAAATTTGATTCCAATCCAACGTCTCAACTAAACGTCAAAAAAATGAGCCAACCCTAATAAATCATCATTTCCCCTCGAATTAAAACATAATACATATTTCCAAGACGACCCGAAAAACTAATAATCAAGACATCCACATCATCTCGCATACACTGTACTTTTTCAATAGACATGAAGAAACTGCAGGAAGTTGAAATCCAATGGAAACTGGATGCTTGGATGAGCCATAAACATGTCTGAATGGGTTGTGGTCACGAAACAATCGGCCGGCTTCATTGAATATTCCAACAAGCGAGTTGGATGTGTCATAATTGTCATGGGTTTCGAGATGACAAATTATAATATAAAAAACGCCGGCGAAAGGGTTCCGGGGAGGGTTGGAGCCGGGGGAGGTGGGAAGTTATGGGTATGGACTTTACGAGTCGGTTGACTGGCTACGAGAGTTTCTTGAGGCTATAAATTTTTTTAGGGCAGTAGCTATTTATCATAAAATATTAGGAGATTTATCAAAGTGCACTTTTATATTCCACTAAATTTTTTGGTGCATCTTTCGTCATGACCACGCATCGATTTATAAAAATTTTTACTTGACCTTTACTCGTGCCCTCAATGTTCGACAATTTTTTGACGAAAGAAAGGGCTTAACGGAGAGCGGTCAGAGAGAAAAATAACTTTAAGCCTCATTTCTGCCAATTTTTTGCGAAAAAATGAAAAAAATGTGGAAATATTGCTATCTATGGTTGGAACAAGGCTAAAAATTTTTGTGGATAGACTTGTAAAAAGAGATGTCGAATTTTCTTCAGCTTTTTTAATAAAAACTTCATCAGTTTCTGCAAAACGCGAAGTTGGAATTACTCCAATTTCTTGGGCAAAATCAAGCCAAATTCTTTGTCATATTTTGTCGAAATCAAAACGTTTCAAACTGAGCACTCGTCCTTAAAAATATTAAACTTTACTTGTTTCCACTCTTTACTTCTTTTACCCTATTTCCCCCATTAATTTCAGCCCCAAAGCACTGACCCATACACATCAAAAACGACGGTTCCTTTCCCAGTCTACTGAAGGAATCAAGAGACGAACACGGGTTCAGGAACCGCTATTAACCCACTCTACCATTTGGCCGAATGTTCCTAAATACGCTTGGAATTGCCTCCAGACAAGTAATCCATCCCTTTTTACGGGATTAAGGGTTTTATCCAAACGCTTTATGGCATATGGAAACTTTCTCTAATCAACTTCCTCTATCTCTCATCCACACAGAGTATATACGTAGAAACAAAAGCAAATACGAATTTGAAATAGTAATCAAAAAAAACTGAATCTGTTCCACGAATGGCAAAGAATTTGATGGAGGCTGTAAATAAAATGAGGCCTGACACCGTAAGTCAGGCTAATTAAGGGCATGGCAATTAAAATTCGTTGAGGAAGTTGATAAAAAAAAAGAAGTTGGCTTGGAACAATAGTTTGTTGCAATCAAAGATAAGAGTGCAGAAGGAGTAATAAAAATTTTTTAGTATTGTTAAAGATAACAAAATCGATGGGTTAACACGAGTTTATGCTTTATTACTTCGCACTGGTGGTATTTCCGGGCCTTTGGGTTAGTACATCTATGAAGCGGAACGACCGATCTTCGAGGATTTTCCCACGAGGAACGATCTGCATTTATTCAAATTTCATTGTACTTTCCTACGTGGAGTTTCCCTATAAAAGGCTTCCTTTCCACTGAATAAATCACTTGACTCTTGAGCTCTCGTCTTGTCTCGTTACTGGGTTGTCGGGCTTTTCGACAACATCCCTACACGGCCGATCGATGTTCTGTGTTATGTTCGGCATACAGTTTGTAGTCCACCCGCCGTCCTGGAATAAGAATCAAACGTTTATGATATGTTCAAGGAATAGCATCATCATCGCTCTCCAGGTTCCACGTTAAGACCATTGATATATCAATCTATGAACTTTGCATTACTTTGTATAATGTTGCTGCACCTTCAAACCGCCAGCTCAAATTTTCAATACTTTATATGTAGTATGTAGCCGTGGCCTAGCTTTAAACATTGCCATATTTGTATTCCAAATATGGCAAAAGAAACTTAGAGGTCACATTTGGAGAACTTCCTTTCAGTTCAAAATTCCTTGGACCCTATGTGCCAGGCTTTCCCCTGCCGGACCCGTGGTCCTCAGGGATTCTGGAGGAAACGTGACTTTGCTTTGTGATCTTTTAAAATCATGTTTTTTAGGGTAATACTACAAAAATTGTAGTATGTATTGCATCGACTGTCCACTTATCACTGAGCAGTCTACATATGGTAGCTAATTGAGACAGTTTGCCACAGTGTGGCAATAGCAATGCCAAGTGTTATATTTGCCAACTTGTGCAATTTCTTTGTCCAATAATCAAACCCATGACGCTGAATCTATTAGAAGTATCATCCCAAGAGAGCATCTGATATATTTTTGGAGGGGCTTTAAAATCAAAAGGTCAAACATACTGACTCAATTGAGGCTTACCACTGGGGTTTAATCCGAGGCTTATCACAAATTTCTTCTTGATTTGCAGCCACTATCATCGGATAAAAAAACGATTTTATTTCACGGTTTAAACCATATTTTTTTACGATTGTATTTTTCTTTCGGTTAAATAACAGCTTTGCTAGCACTCTCGCTCGTTGAAGTAACTTTTAATTCGTATTTCTCCTGGTCCTTCCCGCTACATCTTACAACCGTCAGCAATATACGTTTTGTGATTCCTCGGTACGAAGGAACGCATATAATTACTGATAGCGCGTTTAGCATCGGCAGGGTATGCACTATGATAACCATGACGCTTCCTAACCATTTGGAGCTAAATCCTATGATTGGAGACGTCGCAAGGATGAGACAAGGGAGTCCAAACACAACTGTTGGGTAGATTGCCTAAACTGCTTGGTTCGGGTGATATATTCTTTACCTGTAGCATCAAGACTCTTCCCATTTGTTTTTGAGCTTTGAGTGTAGCTTTTGTCACATCTGTACCAAAACGACGTAGATAGGTCTGCGTTCTTTTGTAGTAAAAGTAGACAAGGACATAACTTAAAAGGACCGTTAGGTTACAGCTTCCAAGATGCGGGATTAACCAGATATTTGCCTCCTAAAACTCTTACTGTAGATGGTTTGTTCGGAAAAGAAGCTCTACTCTAATAACCAGTACCCTTACCACGTCTCCAACTTGATAATTGCGACCGGCGTATTCTTCGAAACCATTCTCAATCAATTGTTTGTCGTATTTGGGCGATGTTCTTTGGAATGTATAAGGTAAAAAGCTGCAGTGCACCACCATGTATGATGCAGCCAATAGCAGAGGAAGTAAGACGGTCTTCAACGATGTGTCGGAAGAAGTCACCACGTGATAGCGGTAGATGAATTGAACTGGAACGAAGAGAACGCACAAAAAAATTATAAAAATTTGAAAGCAGTAAGCGAAAAGTCCGTAGAGCGGGTACATGTCGGCTAGGGGATTTCGGATAACCACGACCATTTGATGGCCGACCAACGCGACAGTCTGAAATATAGCCAAGGTTAGTATCCAACATATGGTTAGGATTACTGTAACATGATGACTTTGGGATAAGGCGCTGCACAAGGAGGACCTGTGGAGCAGGTTCGAATCCTTTTTTGAACTTTTGGATTTTTTTGGCAATCATGAAAAGAACGAGGCCAGGAAGTAATCTTTACTTTTCGAATAGACCTTTGTGGTGTTCTTCCACTTGGAGAGGGAGGTATTTTGCTACATTTGTTTGTAAAACGAGTCCCATACAAAATAAAGTCGACTTACATACATGGACATGACGTTTGACACAATATAGAGAATATCAAGAATACTGTTTGTGATGATGACCTTTGAATAAGTCTCGACTTGTTGGTTCTGCGTCCGAAAACAGCTCAAGTAAATGACATAGCACGGCAAGATAAACCCAAAAATATTGTTGAGCCAGTCCAGATAAAGGAGCTCCATGGAGTTCACTGTGATCTCTAAAACTTATGTTCAATAAAATCCACAGAAAGACCAGGTGGATTGTAAGCTCCTTAGTACACTAAAGGTTAACCTTTTTGAGTTCAAGATTGACACGTATTTGGACACAAAGGGCAATAACAAAGTGATTTAATTAAATCGAAATAATGTGCAATTAAATTGCGTTTAATGAAGGCTAGACGATATTAGGTTAACCTATAGAGCGCTCTTAACATTGAGTATACAGTAACCCGCAATGCCATAAAAACGCAGGGGCTTCGGTAGTTGAGCCCCCCACGAAAGGTAGTTCAAACCCCCACTGTTTTGCCCGTTTCACACCCCACATAATGAACAAATTAGAATAATACAAAAAATGTAAGTGGGGGTTTGATCTACTACGTTGGGGTTTGATCTAAAACGTAGGGGGCTTGACCTAAAACGTAGGGGGCTTTTTCTAAAACGGAGGGGGCTTGATCTAAAACGTAAGGGGCTTGATCTAAAACGTAGGGGTCTTCATCTAAGACGTAGGGGGCTTGTGCTGGACCATACAACTTGAATTAATTCTTTGAAATAAATTTTGGGGTTTAGAATGGACGAGGGGGTTTGTACTGGGTCATGGGGGGCTAAACTGGACTGGGGGGCTGTACTACCTTAGCCCCAAAACGCAAAATGGGGAAAAGGTGCGGTAATAAATTATTATATATCATTTTATCGTACAAATACTACATATCATCTTCTTCTCTAAAGGAGAAAGAGTTTCCAAAAAAATTAAAATAAAAAGTAGTGCTTATAATTCGTCGTGTGTTCGGCTAGTCACAATAAATATTACTATATCAAAAAGTGCATGTCAGACTGTAAGACATTGCCCTTCCGAGTACGAGTATCGCGTCACTACAATTTGTCAATACTAAGCAAATTTTTTACACCCAAATATAGTAATACCCCTAATCAGAACGTACAGTATCTGGCGACCCTCTTCAGCCCGCTAAATACGTAATGCACGATTGCAACACCATAATTCTACCATTCATCAGAATAAAGACCATAAGAAATCCGCAAGTACAATGTGTATGTACAATAGTTGAAAACGTTCTTTGATGGTGCAAGTGAAACTCCTATATATTTTTTCGCATTTTATACAAGACTCACCCATGAGGCTTTATGTTCGAGACCGTTTTATTTCAAGCTACTTGCAACACTCGCATGATCATTTAGCGTCTTACATTACAGTTTATTTTGAAACACATGTTGTAACGTTCCAATTGGATTAAAATGGATAAATTTACAGAACAGCAAGAGAAACCCCAAAGAATATGTACAGTGATTCTGTTTTTTCGTGACAAGCTTTACAAACCGAATTTTCAAAAGGGCAGTTTACAATTTGAAGAAAGCTTGCAAGGAAACGAATACCAGAGTTGGTCATATAATATTCATAGAGCATATGACTTAGGGCCAAATGCTTATTTACATGTATATGTATTATAAATATAATAATAAATACAAATATAGGTTGACAGTGTATTATTGTCTGAAAAGCATAGAGAGACCACAATTAACAGCTTAAAATTTCGGGGAAGTGTAGTACTCAAGGGGTGGCCCATGTCCTTATTGTAGCCTTCGTCTGACCAAATCCTGAATTTTTTTTCCGGAATTCTACCGTACTTGTTGCAGAATGCCAATGCGTGTGAGGGAATTCGCGCGTACCCGTGTGGTTTGCTTTGAGGTTCCACTGGCTCCAAGAGGAGCTTCAAGGATGTTTGAACTCGTGATTGTTGGTAAGGATGCTGGCCTGGGTCGCCTTTTTACGGTTGTATTTAATGTTATATATCTTCAGAATTATCAAGTTTATTATCCATTTATTGAGGAAAAAAGTATGTTCATGTTTCTCTCTTACCACTGGGGTTTAATCCGAGGCTTATCACAAATTTCTTCTTGATTTGGGGCCAGTATCGGAGGTATGGAAAAACAGTTTCATTAATGATCGGTTTATTTACCAAAAAATATTTTCTTATATTTTCCTTTTGATTAAATAACAGTTTTGCTAGCGTTTTCGGTCGTTGAGTAAACTTTTGATTCGTATTTCTCCAGGCTCTTCCCACTGCATCTTAGAATAGTCAACAATAAACGTTTCGTGACCTCACGGTACGAAGGAACGCATGTAATTACTGATAGCGCATTTAACGTCGGCAATGTATGCACTGCGATAACCATGACGCTTCCTAACCATTTGGAGCTAAATCCGATGATTGGAGACGTCGCAAGGATAAGACAAGGGAGTCCAAACACAACTGTTGGGTAGAGTGCCTAAATTATTGCTTGGTTTGGGTGACATCTGCTTTACCTGTAGCATCATAATTCTTCCCATTTGTTTTTGAGCTCTAAGAGTGGATTTTGTCACCTCTGTGCTAAAGCGTTGTAGATAGCGCTGCGTTCTTTTGTAGTAAAAGTAGGTAAGGACATAACTTAAAGAGACCGTTAGGTTACAGCTTCCAAGATGCGGGATTAGCCAGATATTTGCCTCCTAAAATTCTTGTTGAAGGTAGTCTACTGTAATAACCCTTACCACGTCTCCAACATAATAATTACGACCGGCGTATTGTGCGAAACCATTATCAATCAAAAGTTTGTCGTATTTGGGTGATGTTCTTTGGAATGTATAAGGTATGAAGCTGCAATGCACCACCATGTATGATGCAGCCAACAGCAGAGGAAGTAAGACGGTCTTTAACGATGTGTCGGAAGAGGTCACAACTCGGTAGCGGTAGATAAATTGAACTGGAACGAAGAGAATGCACAAAAAGATTATAAAAATTTGAAAGCAGTAAGCGAGGAGTCCGTAGAGCGGGTACATGTCGGCTAGGGGATTTTGGATGACCAAAACTACTTGATGGCCTACCAACGCGGCGGACTGGAATATAGGTGAGGTTAGTATTCAATACATATCTATGATACACTCAGCGTAAAAAATTACTTAAATGGCCCGGCTCGATCACCGGGCTCGGCTGGCCCCATGCAAAGTAACGTCGACTTACATACATGGACATGACGTTGGACACAACATACACAATGTCGAGGATACTGTTTGTGATGATGACCTTTGAATAAGTCTTGACTTGTTGGTTCTGCGTTCGAAAACAGCTCAAGTAAATGACATAGCACGGCAAGATAAAGCCAAAAATATCGTTGAGCCAGTCCAGGTAAACGAGCTCCATGGTTCACCGTGATCTAAAATTTATGGTAAATAAATAAAATTTTACATGCATATACCAGCTGGGTTGTAAACTCCGGAAGACAACAAAGGTTATTTCTTTCGGGACAAACAATAGAATTAGGCATCATATTATGCCACAATTGGGAGCAATAACAATGTGATTTGATTAGAAATAATAATGAAAACCTAACGCTATTAGGATCACCACAGGGCTTCTATAAAGAGTCTTTAAGTTTGTACTACATACACCAATACCCCTAATCAGAAGCAACAATATCTGGCGACCCTCTTCAGCCCACTGAATACACAATGCACGAGGGCAACACCATAATTCTGTCATTCATCTACTTTATACAGAATAATGACCATAAGAAGTCCATAAGTACAATGTGTATGTAGTTGAAAACGTTCTTTGATGGTGCAAGTGTAACTCCTATGTATTCTCCTGCATTTTATACAAACCTCTCCCACGAGGTTTTAAATATTTTGAAACCGTCTTAATTTTCATGCTCCTCGTAACACTTGCGTGCTAGTTTAGCGTTTTACATTACAGTTTATTTCAAATGACATGTTGTAATGTTCCAAGTGGATTAAAATGGACATAATTATTTGCACGGCAAGAAAACCCAAAGAATACAGTGACTCTGTTTTGTCGTGCCTCTGAGAACACAACGAATTTTTCAAAGGACAGATTACAATTTTAAGTTGGCAAGGAAATGAGTACCATAGCTGGTCATAAAATACTCGTAGAGCATATGACTTAGGGCCATATGCTTATTTACATTGTAATATAAAGGTCGACAATATATTATTGTCTGAAAAACATAAAGACCATTAAAACACGATTTTTGAGTCACTGAATCAGCCGCCAATTAGGCGTGGACATAGGAAAAAATCGATTTTGAGTTTTTGATTTTAAAATGACTGTAGGCATCTTATAAACATAATGCTGAAATATTTTTGCCCAATTCCTTCGTTAACCTACTGTAATTTACAATTTAATGCTTTTAGAGTAATCGACCATTACAAGAAAACTACTGATTAGAAATGGCTGAAATTGGCAATACTTATGTTTTAGGCCATGCCCGTCATAATAGACATAGAACTTTGGCAGTCGGGTTACTGTAACATACCGTAATGTGGGTTCGGCCGCACAAATTCGGCCCTAAAAAAGTTATTTCTCAAAAGCCGCAGCTGATTTTTACATATGTTAATCAGCGTAAAATTCTGCCCTATAAACATTTAAAAAAAGTGTAAAAAGCCATGATCCGTTTTTCGTGGTATAGTGGATTTTGGCCAAATTTAGTAATCCAAGGGTCGCGAGTTCGATCCCCGTGGAAGCAAAATCCGTAATACCGCCCAGAACCTTAAAAAATCAAATGGGCTGAGTTGTATAGCATACACGGGAAGTATAAAAACCTTTATAAAAATTGATTTGCAATTTTGAAAGCATTTTTTGAAGATGACATCAGAATTTTGTTTTTCGTGGATTACGGTGCAAATTTAGTTTAGGAATGTTGGTAAAAAGTACTGCATAGAGGTTTTCAAGCCTTCTAAATTCAATGGGACAATTTTTTCGGGCCTAGGATTACTGTAACATGGAGAAAACAAATTTCGGCCGCTAAAAATCCGCCGTAAAAATGTTGTTTTCAAAAAAACGCCATTCATTCTACGATTTTTGGAATCAGCGTGAAATTTGGCTCTAGAATCATTACATCCTGTACCTTAGTTGACCGCTTGAATTTTACAGATTTTTTTTGCCGTAAAATCACAAATTTTGGGGTGAGTGAAGTCATCCGCGGAAATCGAAAAATAAAATCATGAGTTTCTCGGCTAGAAGTATGTACAACCACTAATAAAATATAGCTTCAAAATATTTTTGTTTAATTCCATTGCTAATGCAGTTTTATTTACAATTTTCAAATATGAAAATAATTCACCACAGAGAAAAAAGTATTTGACAACATGACTGTGTTTTGAGTTGATATAGTGTGGAATTGTACGCTGATTCCAAAAATCGTAGAATGAATGGCGTTTTTTTGAAAACAACATTTTTACGGCCGATTTTTAGCGGCCGAAATTTGTTTTCTCCATGTTACAGTAATCCTAGGCCCGAAAAATTTGTCCCATTGAATTTAGAAGGATTGAAAACCTATATACAGTAATTTTTACCAACATTCCTAAACTAAATTTGCACCGTAATCCACGAAAAACAAAATTCTGATGTCATCTTCAAAAAATGCTTTCAAAATTGCAAATCAATTTTTATAAAGGTTTTTATACTTCCCGTGTATGCTATACAACTCAGCCCATTTGATTTTTTAAGGTTCTGGGCGGTATTACGGATTTTGCTTCCACGGGGATCGAACTCGCGACCCTTGGATTACTAAATTTGGCCAAAATCCACTATACCACGAAAAACGGATCATGGCTTTTTACACTTTTTTTTAATGTTTATAGGGCAGAATTTTACGCTGATTAACATATGTAAAAATCAGCTGCGGCTTTTGAGAAATAACTTATTTAGTGCCGAATTTGTGCGGCCGAACCCACATTACGGTATGTTACAGTAACCCGACTGCCAAAGTTCTATGTCTATTATGACGGGCATGGCCTAAAACATAAGTATTGCCAATTTCAGCCATTTCTAATCAGTAGTTTTCTTGTAATGGTCGATTACTCTAAAAGCATTAAATTGTAAATTACAGTAGGTTAACGAAGGAATTGGGCAAAAATATTTCAGCATTATGTTTATAGGATGCCTACAGTCATTTTAAAATCAAAAACTCAAAATCGATTTTTTCCTATGTCCATGGCTGATCCAGTGACTCAGAAATCGTGTTTTAACAGCTTAAAAGTTCGGAGAAGTGTGGCACTCCAGGCGTGGCCCATGTCCTGACTATAGCCATCTCAGCATTTACAGAAATTCATTATTATATGTAACACACAGAAAAGTTCATCTGATTCCTTCCGCGAGCAACGCCGGCGAGCGGTCGAAATCCTGCAACCAACAACGTCGCCCGACGCCGAAACCGTGAGATGCCGAAAACGTCACATTTCTTGGTTCTGTTGTCACGATTGCGTGAGAAGTTCCCAAGAATTTGCATAAACCGACCGATAATTTGTATAAATGTAATGGACCGATTGCTTTTCGGTCAGATTTTTGGTTTTTCCCTAGCGAATAAACTATGGTCGTGATCATCACAAAGCTTTCTTTGCAAAGTGGATTCAATTACTGTGAGTACATTGTCTGTGTCGTCTATTTCAGCTACGACGTTCTAGTTGTTACGAGTTAGCTATTCGTGTAGACAAGCTAGGGGCTTTCATTCCTTGACCTCCTATAGGTTTCGACATGGCGACCACAGTAGATCCACGTGACAGTTCGTGAGACAGTACCACAGCGGACGGTGCAACGACACTGATACGTACAATGTAGTTGTATTCTACACGTCGACATGGAGTAACAAGAACCTTGGTGTCCGCTACCTCAGCGATCGGGTCATCCAACCGGATTTTCTGATCAAGGCACCTTCGAGTGATTCGAGTTCACGCCCCGACCTCTGCAGCTTCCGACATTGAATTCGACCAGTTCCTTGAAGAAGTGGAAACAGCACGATCTCCGGTCAATTTATCTAGTATAGTTTAAAAAACCCATTGAATATTGGTTTACTGAGGAAGCAATATTTTGATTAAATAACAGTTTTGCTAGCGCTCTCGATCGTTGACTGAAACTTTGATTCGTCTTTTTCCAGGTCTTTCCCGCTGCATCTTAGAATAGTCAGCAATAAACGTTTTGTAATCCCGCGATACGAAGGAACGCATATAATTACTGATAGCGCATTTAACGTCGGCAATGCATGCACCGCGACAACCAGGATGTTTCCCAACCATTTGGAGGCGACTCCGATGATTGGTGACGTTGCAGCGATCAGACAAGGAAGTCCAAACACAACTGTTGGGTATAGTGCCTAAATTATTGCTTGGTTCGGATGATACATCCTTTTTACCTGTAGCATCAAGATTCTTCCCATTTGTCTCTGAGCTCTGAGGGTGGCTTTTGTCACATTTGCGTCAAAGCGTTGTAGATATCGCTGCGTTCTTTTGTAGTAAAAGTAGGTAAGGACGTAACTTAAAAGGACGGTTAGGTTGCAGCTTCCAAGGTGTGGGATTAACCAGATATTCGCCTCCTAGAACTCGTAATGTAGATTGGGAAGGAAGGCAGTCTACTCTAATAACCAATACCCTTACCACGTCTCCAACGTAATAATTACGGTCGGCGTATTGTTCGAAACCATTATCAATCAACAATTTGTCGTATTTGGGCGATGTTCTTTGGAATGTATAAGGTAATAAACTGCAATGCACCACCAGATATGACGAAGCCAATAGCAGAGGAAGTAAGATGGTCTTCAACGATGTGTCGGAAGAAGTCACCACTCGGTAACGGTAGATGAATTGAACTGGAACGAAGAGAACGCACAAGAAGATTATGAAAACTTGAAAACTATAAGCGAGAAGCCCGTAGAGCTTGTACATGTCGGCTAGGGGATTTCGGATAACAAAGATGATTTGATGGCCTACCATGGCGACAGACTGAAATGTAGTCAAGGTTAGTATTCGATATTTATTAAGGAAATGCCAGAGATATGACGATCTTGCTCACTTCTCTTGTAAAATAAATCTTATGCGAAATGAAGTTAACTTACGCACATGGACATTATGCAGGACACAATATAGAGAATGTCAAGGATACTGTTTGTGATGATAACCTTCGAGTAAGTCTTGACTTGCTTATTCGGTGTCCGACAACAAATCAAATAAATGACATAAGACGGCAAGATGAACCCCAAAACATTGTTGAGACAGTCCAGATAAATGAGCTCCATGCAGTTCACCGTGATCTGAAACCTATGGTAAGTAAAATTTCACAGACATACTATCAGGGGGCTTGTAAGCTCCGGAAAATAAGGGTTTACTTTTAGTGGGTCTAAGTTTTAGGCATATTTAGACGCAATTGGGGGCAATAACAAGGTATTAAATGAAAACTAGGCGACATTAAGTTAACCCCAGAGCTCTATAGATGGCCTCCAAGATGATATGTTCTACAGTAATGCTATAAAAAAGTACAGAGAAGCGGAAAACCTAAATTAAGTGTAATATCATCTTCTTCTCTGAAAAGCGCAGCGTTTCGAAAATTTGTAGAGTCCAAATAAGGAAGAAAGGTAATGCTTACAATTAGGCGTGTCTTTGGCTGACTACAACAGAGATTACTAAACTAAAAAGCGTATGTTACATTGTGAGGCAATGCCGTTCTATGGATACAAATCGCGCCATAAAGTTTATGGATATTGAACAAATTTGTATGCCGAAATACAACAATACCCTTAATCAGGCCCAACAGCATTTAGCAACTTTCTTCAGCCCACTAAATACGTAATTCAAAATTGCAACACCATAATTCTATTATACCATTTGTCAACCTTAAGTTGACAACTATTCCTATGTATTTTCTTGCAGTTTATCCAAAGCTCACCCACAAATTTTTAATTTTGAAACCATTTTATTTCAAGCTCCTTGCAACGCTTGCGTGGGAGTCCAACGTTTTACATTACAGTTTATTTCCAAGGACTTGTTGTAATGTTCCGAATTAATTTGAAATGGATATAACTTGCTGAGCAGCGAGAGGATTTCCAAAGAATACCGTAATTCTTTCTTGCTGTGGCTCTGAGGAGGCTTTGCAAAACGAATTTTCAAAAGGGCAATTTACAATTTTATAAATGCTTGCAAGCAAATGAATACCAGAATTGAACATATATTATTTAATACCCCTACAGCTTAACGCTTAGGGCCAAGGCAGCGTCTTGAAATAAATTGCTTATTTAGGACGACCGTATATTATTGTCTGCAAGAATATAGAGAGACCACAATTACCAGCTTAAAAGTTCGAAGAAGTGCAGCACTCAATGAATGGCCCACGCCCTGACTTCAGCGATCTCGGAATTTCCAGAGGTTTTGAATTATTTTATATAGCATACAGAAAAGATCAACTCAAGATTTATGCGGCAAACCAATTTGCTAATGATATTTCTATTGATCAACCGCTGCTTGTGGCATCCGTTTCGACCGCTCGACTTCACTTCAATCGCTGGTTCTCCTCTAACCGGTTGACCGTCTTTCTTCGACTACCCGAAACTGTCGCGCAACTATGTGCTACCTGTGCTGTTATGACATTTGCCTGGATAAATATATTGCATATATCGGTATCAGCCATTGATTGTTTTTATTGAGGAAGCAATGTTTGCCTATACATATTTTTCTTTTCATTAGATGACAGTTTTGCTAGCGCTCTCGATCGTTGACTGAAACTTTGATTCGTCTTTCTCCAGATCCTTCCCGCTGCATCTTAAAATACTCAGCAATAAACGTTCTGTGATCTCGCGGTACGAAGGGACGCATGTAATTACTGATAGCGCATTTAACGTCGGCAATGTATGCACCGCGACAACCAGGACGTTTCCCAACCATTTGGAGGTAACTCCGATGATTGGTGACGTTGCAGCGATAAGACAGGGAAGTCCAAACACAACTGTTGGGTAGAGTGCCTAAATTATTGCTTGGTTCGGGTGGTATCTGCTTTACCTGCAGCATCATGACTCTTCCCATTTGTTTCTGAGCTCTGAGGGTGGCTTTTGTCACATTTGCGTCAAAGCGTTGTAGATAGCGCTGCGTTATCTTGTAGTAAAAGTAAATAAGGACGTAACTTAAAAGCACAGTTGTGTTGCAGCTTCCAAGATGCGGGATTAACCAGATATTTGCCTCCTAAAACTCTGATTGTAGATTGGGAAGGAAGGCAGTCTACTCTAATAACCAATACCCTTACCACGTCTCCAACATAATAATTGCGACCGGCGTATTGTTCGAAACCATTATCAATTAACAGTTTGTCATATTTGGGTGATGTTCTTTGGAACGTATAAGGTAAAAAGCTGCAATGCACCACCATGTATGATGCAGCCAATAACAGAGGAAGTAAGACGGTCTTCAACGATGTGTCGGAAGAAGTCACCACTCGGTAGCGGTAGATAAATTGGACTGGAACGAAGAGAACGCACAAAAAAATTGTAAAAATTTGAAAGCAGTAAGCGAAAAGTCCGTAGAGCGGATATATGTCAGCTAGGGGATTCCGGATAACAAAGATGATTTGATGGCCTACCATGGCGACAGACTCAAATGTAGTCAAGGTTAGTATTTAATATTTATTAAGGAAGTGTCAGAGATGCGACGATCATCCTCACTTTCTTTGTAAAATAAATCTTATGCAAAATGAAATTAACTTACGCACATGGACATTATGCAGGACACAATATAGAGAATATCAAGGATACTGTTTGTGATGATAACCTTCGAATAAGTTCTGACTTGCTTATTCGGCGTCCGACAACAAATCAAATAAATGACATAGCACGGCAAGATAAAGCCAAAAATATTGTTGAGCCAGTCCAGATAAATGAGCTCCATGGAGTTCACCGTGATCTGAAACCTATGACAAGTAAAATTTCACAGACATACTATCAAGTGGGTTGTAAGCTCCGGAAGACATTAAAGGTTAGCTTTTTTGGGTCCAAGGTTTAGGCGTAGTTAGACACAATTGTGGGCAATAACAGGGTGTTAAATGAAAACAGACGACATTAGGTTAACCCCAGAGCTAGATGGTCTAAAACGTGACGCGTTCTACAGCAATGCTATAGAGAAGTACAGAGAAGTGGGAAACATAAATTTTAACACTTAAAAGTGTAATATCATCTTCTTTTCTGAGAAGCACAACGTTTCGAAAATTTGTGGTGTTCAAAAAAGGAAGAGAGGTAGTTCTTACAATTAGGCGTGTCTTTAGCCGACTACAGCAGAGATTACTATTAAACTAAAAGGTTTATATTAAACTCTGAGGCATTGCCGTTCTATGGATACAAATCGCGTCATCACAGTTTGAGTTAATATTGAGCAAATTTGGTGTGCCGGAATACTCCAGCGCCCTTAATCAGAGCGAACAGCATCCAGCGACCCTCAGACCACTAAATATGTAGTGCAAAATTGCAACACCATAATTCCACCGCTTGTCGTCAACTTTAAGTTGACAAATACTCCTATGTATTTTTTTGCAATTTATACAAAGCTCACCCACGAATTTTTAATTTTGAAACGGCTTTATTTCAAGCTCCTTGCAACATTCGCGTGATAGTCCAGCGTTTTACATTACAGTTTATTTCCAAGGACTTGTTGTAATGTTCCAAATGAGCTTTAAATGAATATAAATTGCTGAGCAGCGACAGAAATCCCAAATAATACCGTAATTCTTTTTTTCCGTGACTCTGAGAAGGCTTTACAGAACGAATTTTCAAAAGGGCAATTTATAATTTTGTAATAAGAAAGCTTGCAAAGAAATGAATACCAGAATTGGCCATGTAATACCCGTACAGCATAAAGCTTAGGGCAAAAGCAGCGTCTTTAAATAAAATGCTTATTTTGGACGACCCTATATATTATCGTCTGGAAAAAATAAATGGGAGGCCACAATTATCAGCTTAAAAGTTCGAAGAAGTGCAGCACTCAAGGGATGGCCCTAGAGGTAGCAATCGGAGTTTGCAGAATTGATGGATGGATATTAAATTAAACTTTTTTGACTTATTATATATAAGTCTGGTGTATTACATCTGTAAAAATTTTTTTGGAAATTCTCTCGGATTTCGCCGCCATAAAAAGCGACGGGAGATTTGATAAACCTGCCGTCACCTTCGCCGGCACCAAAATTTACCGACGGTAAAAATGAAAAACTCGCCGTCTTATTTTTTTTTAAGCAGGCAGATTTTGGAGTTCGCCGAAGCCCATTTTTTTGCTGGCAAGAATCGAGTTGTGCCGGCACTTTTAGCTGGCCCCGCCCCCACTTCGGCGGGCCAATCAATGTGTCTCCGAAATAGACAGCCCCGCCCCCAATTGACCCCTCTGCCTTTCCGCCGTGTCCACGGCGGTCAAAGGCCTTGAGAGGGGTCGGGCCATTTCGGTCTTCAAAAAACCGTCTTTACAGTATATCTTATAATATTTTACGTTATTTCGCGTTGTTATTATAATATGGTTTATTAACCCAAGTTTGAGGTTGTCCAATAAAGACTTCATTCACATGGCGACCACGGCGGCGTCCGATTCCGGACGCCTCAGGACTGAAATCGGCAAATCCAGGGCACATCTGATCAAGGCAACTGAAAATCTTGATGGCATCCTGTCCAAGGTTCCACCCAATCTCGATATTCCGCTGGAGGAACTAAATGCTTTCCGCCACAGCGTTGCTACCGCTGATGACCGCTTACTCCAGCACTACACCTCTCTAATGGAGCTAGAGTCAGAATGGAAGAAGTTAGCAGAAAAGATCCCAGCTGAAGTCCAAGAACGTTCCATCTACTATCGCAAATTTGGTCCGTTAAATAAACCGCTCAACGCTGCAGCAACCACACACAAGCATGCGCAACGAGTCTGCGCCGAATTGGACAGAGCAATAGATGCAGCTACCGACCATGCCGTCGACATGCCCATCCGTCCACTAACTCCAATTAAACCTGGCACTCAAACGGATTACGACTCAAGTTTGAGCGAAGCAGACCCGTTCTCACAATTACAAATCGCGTCTCCAAAACCAGCTACGCCAGCTGTGCAAGGCCCACCAACAGTACCTGAGATAGCCAAGCCAATCCCGGTTCAAATTACGAAAGAACTCAACGCCAATGTCCAAGCCAGTCCAGCATTGCCAGTTCCCGCCAGAAGTCAGAACGAATTGCCCCTTCCTTCCGGTCCCTCAATTACAGCAAATCGCTTGGAACAGGTAGGCCAGGTTAACGCACCATTTTATCAAACTGCTATGTCTCTCCAACTTCCTCAATTCACCCTTCCTCGATATTCGGGCTCATCTTCATTTCACGAGTGGTTTTCATTATTTTCCGAGCTTGTCGATAAAGCCCCAATCGCAGACGTATTAAAAATGTCACATTTAGTAAATTCGTTAAGCGGCCATGCAAAATCGGCCATTGAAGGTCTTCAAATTACGGGGCAAAATTACCATATAGCCATGCAGATATTACGCGAAAGATTCCTCGATTCTGAAGCAACAAAAAATGCACTAATCCGCGACTTGATAGCTATTCCTCCAATCAGTGGAAAGTATTCCGTACCCAACCTTAGAGCGCTGATCGACAAAATCGAAGTAATTTTACGCCAGTTACACGTTTTAGGCCTTACTTCAGATGGAGATTTTTTGATAAACTTGGTGCTATCCAAACTTCCAAAACGCGCAGTGTCTCCGCTTTTGAACGCAAAAGTTTCCAACCCACATTCTTGGAGTTTATCTTATGTTCGTAAACGTCTCCTGGAATTCGTAAAGATTGAAGAATCTGTTGATTCATTCTACAGTACTCCGGAGAAGCGACAAGGGTCCCAAAATGCAAATTCGTTTTTTCATCACCCGCCGCAAATTCCCAAGTCAGATCACTTAGAAGGTCATAAAAATTCAATGCCTTCGAATTCAAATTCAAAAAATGATCCCCGGCCCTGCATATTTTGCTCTAACGGTCACTCGGGACTTAATTGTATAAATTATTCGACCCCTCAACAAAGAGTTGAAAGGGCAAAAGCACTGTCCAGATGCACTCGGTGTCTCCGCATGAGTCACACAAAAAATTGTTTCACCAGATTGAGTTGTCGAAATTGCGAAGAGCAACATCATACCTTTTTATGCCCGAAAACTGCAAAATTCAAAGCCAGCAACAGCAATGCAATCCCTCTGGAGAGATCAACTCCATCATTTACTCCAATCACGCCAGCGGCGCCACAAATCGCAAAAACCAAAAATGCACAGCTTTCTCAATCAGCAGCGCCTTTTACTATGGGCAGCGGACCACACATAACCTTGTCCACAATATCGTCTGAAGAATCAATAACCTCTTTGAGCAATCAACTCCTTGTTAGCCCCTTTACCGCGCTCGGATATCCAACCCTTGTCACGTCTCACTGTCTATTTGACACAGGAGCAAACAAGAATTTCATCACGGATCAGTTGGCTACTCTTCTGAGTCTGCCCTCGATAAGCGAGGTAATGGTCGATAACATATCTTTTGGAGGAACTTCTCCTCGAAAAATTCGATGTAAAAAATACAACGTTGTTCTCAAATTGGCGTCGGGGAATACCATGTCCGTTGAATGCCTCTCAATGCCAGAGATCACAGGCAAAATTCCGAAGTCTTCCCTCCATCCTTCCTCATTGGCTTTCGAGGATGAGTCAAGTTCTATCCAGATTCATCTACTACTCGGAAATTGTACCGTTTGGTCTCTCATTTCGGGCCCTTCGTTTTCGGACTCCAAGGGCGATCGGTTCATTCCCACCCTTCTGGGAAACCTCGCAATTCCTCAAATGCCTATCGAAAATCGCGTCCACTCTCTCTCTTCGATTTCTTCTAACGCGCAAAAAGATGAGGACCCCTCTCAATCGTTTCGGCAACTTATTCGTTATGACACCAAAGCTCAAAAGTACTTTGTGTCACTTCCGTGGAAGACTTGCACTCCACATCTCGGTGACGACCACTTTTGGCTGGCATTCGGTCGTCTGAAAAGTCTACATCAGACACTTCGAGTAGAAGGATTTTTAGATGATTTCGACGAAAGCATTTCCGAATTATTACGAAAACAATACGTCGAATTGTGTACAAAATTTCGACCTAAGGATATCACCACCCCTCTAAGATACTTGCCTTTACAGGCGGTACACCGCCCAAACAAAAAACTCCGAGTAGTTTACGACGGAGCGGCCAGAACAAAGGCATCCAAAGCTATTAATGAATTTCTTGACACAGGGTATAATGACCTTCCCACAATTCCCACCGTCTTAACTCGTATCCGATGCCTCAAGCACTTTCTTATCGCGGACGTGTCCGCAGCTTTCAACCAAGTTGGGATCGAGGAAGAAGACAGAGATGCTCTTCGGATCTTGTGGTTAAAAGACAAAGAAAAAGATGTTAGCCAATCAAACTTGTCAATCCTTCGGTTCAAAGTTCTACCATTCGGCCTAACCTGTGCCCCAGGGATCTTATCCGCGGTTCTCCACAAACATTTGGAAAATTTCGGAGAGTTAGGCAAAGAAGTCGAACAAACCCTGTACGTCGATAATTTTGCTATTTCTTGCTCAGCCGAGTCATTTGAAGACAAGTTCAACGCAATCTCCGACATCTTTCGAGCAGCCAACATGAAGCTTCATGATTTCAACAGCAACTCCGATGCGATTCGTGCTCAACTTAATTCAAGAGGTCATGAGACCCCCATCATTACGAAAATTTTGGGCGTTCATGCTGATTTGAGAGCCGATTTGTTTTTCGTAGTCTTCCCTGAAATTGAGGAAGGCATGGTCCCAACTAAGCGCACAGTGCTTCAAAAGCTGTCCAGCGTTTTTAACCCGCTGGGCATGGCCGAACCAGTCCTCTTGCTTGCGCGCCTGTTAATTCAAGAGATTTGGAAACACAAGATTCATTGGGATGAATCACTTCCACATCCGCTGGCGTCAAAATGGTATCATATTTGCGCTGACTGGAATTCCATATCCTTGCCCTTCAGTCGTTATTTTGATTTGAGTGGCGCTCAATCGATCGAGGCACACGTATTTGTAGACGCATCCTCGGTGGGACGAGGCACAGTGGCCTATTTAAGGGTCGCACATCTGGATCGCGTCGCTGTACATTTCTTCTCCGCGAAGAGCAGGTTGATCCCAACAAAATCAGTCATCTCTATTCCCAAATTAGAGTTTGCGGAACTGGTCCTTGGAGCAGAAACTTTAATGACAATAAGGAAAAGCATGACAATACAACCAGATGGGCTTTATCTGTGGAGCGATAGCAAGGTAGCAATAGCGTGGGCAAAAAGAGATTCAACGAAAGGAATGGAACTTTACGTTTCTAATCGCTGGAAACGTCTCAGAAATTGCCAGGACATAATTATTCAACATGTACCCGGTTTCATGAACATAGCCGATGTCGGCTCTAGAGGATGCACTCTGGCTGAATTATCCAAAAACGAAGACTGGCAGCGAGGCCCTAGTTGGTTGAAGGATAAAGAAAAATGGCCCGTCCAAGACCCACCAAATGCTCTAGTTGACACCGTGATCACAAATGTGACAATCTCAGACATGCCTCCAAATCCCCCTCCATTCATTCTTAATCCAGACAGATTTTCAAATTGGAATACTTTTTTCCGGTCTGCTACTTTGGTTTTTCTTTTTCTTTGCCAATCATCGAAAACCTTTGCGCAAAAACTGGCCAAATTCGATCCCAGCGCACCCTTTTCCCCCGCATCTTCCCGCGTCGTTTTTCTCCACCTATTGTTCATGGCACAGCAGGCATGTCCCCCGACCGAGGAAGAAATAAAAAATTACGGCCTTATTTTGGAGAACGGACTTCTTGTTCGAAAAACTCGGCGTTTAATCGAGGGCACAGATTCAACATTCAATCCCCCATATCTCCCCAAAAATCCCCTTTTGTAAAGCTTTACATCGCGTATTTACACCAATCACACCATCACTCCTCATATGAGTACACCCTGCACGTGCTCAAGTCCCAGTTGTTTATGCCTAAGCCCCGTACATTGATAAAAACAACTGTAAGAGAATGCGCACACTGTAAACGCTTCACAGCTCAGCCATATGCGCAACCACCTTTCGCGAATTTTCCGCCAAAGCGAACGTCCCGATCAGCTCCCTTTACTCACACAGCAGTGGATTTTTTCGGCCCGCTAATTACATCGGATGGAAACCACACCTCAAAGAGGATGGTAGCCCTTTACACTTGTTTTTCGACTAGAGCCCTCTGGCTTGACCTAGTTGAAGATAACACAGCAGAGAAGTTCTTGAATTCCCTGCGGCGATTTACTTCCACCCGGGGCTGCCCCATCTCATTCTATTCGGATTCAGCCAATAATTTTCTTATCACTTCGCAAATAATCAATAAGGACCCAGTATCAGCCGTTTTGACACCAGATCCATCAATTGGCCGGTTTCTTCAAGAACAAAAAATAAAATGGGATTTTATTCCAAGTAAAGGAAGCTTCATGGGTGGCATTTACGAACGTCTCGTTGCTTTATGCAAATCAACATTACATAAGTCGCTAGGCCGCCGACTTATTCCAGACGATGAACTACGAACACAACTACTGGAATGCGCAAGCATAATAAATTCTCGTCCACTTTGTTATCAAGCCGAGGGTGATACCCCCGTCCTCACGCCAAACGACTTCCTCGGAGTAATGCCGAAGCAGCTCCCGTATCCTACAGACAACGATGACGACCCCGACTGGCTGCCCGAGAACGATGATTCTGCGCGCGCAGCGCTCTTAAAACGATGGAAAGACTCAAATTCGCGTCTTGAAAAAACGTGGAATTATTGGAATAAAGCATACGTAACTACGCTGCAAGATCGCGTCAAAAATACACACGATAACCCCCATCTTTCTGTCAAGTCTTTTCCTCAACTCAATGAGATTGTGATTCTGCAGGAGGATAAAACACCCCGCCAATCATGGAGATTAGGCCGCGTTTCTGAAATTTCAAGCAACCGTCACGTGAAAATTGCGCTGGGCGAACGAAACGGTCAAAGAAAAACCGTTGCACGCCCAATCAATCGGATCTGTCCACTAGAACTTCGCGCTTTCTCAACTTGTCTAATCTCTCTATTATGTCTGGTGCGTTTAACCTTGTCTTGTTCAGATTTAGCTGTGTTGACGGGACAGGCTCAGGATTGTCAAATTTCGGATGTAATCAAATGCCGATATCAACAAAGCACGCTGTTTCCGGTCACGCCATCAACGCAAACAGTATGTGCAGAACTCCGCGCACCAAATAATGAAGCCTCAACACGATTGGTGATCAAGCTGAAATCCGTTAAGTACAAATGCCATCGATCGACTCTCGCGTATACTAGACAGGTGGCTGCACACGTGGTGAAATCCGTCCGTTGCGACCAGGCTCTAGGGTCCGAATGTTTCTCCAACTTTTGCGAATCCACGAAATCGGAGACAAAAATCCCGGCCTTTGGAGATCAGCCGAACTCAGCACCTGGACATACGAACTGCTTCAGAAGATGCGGATGTGCGTGGTGCGGTTGCGGATTATGCTCAGAAGGATGTTTGTTCTACCGATACTTCCTGGAAAGTGATGTACCCGACATTTTTACAGTATTTTCATGTCCATCATTTACACCTACGGTAGTAGGTGAATTTACTCTGAATAATATCACTAAGAAATTTGTTCTTACTCCAGCCTTGCCATATCATTTTTCTAACATTACTTTAACAGTCGCATCTCTCTCAACTGCCCCTGCTCCAATTTTTAATTCCATGTTTCTTCAAAACCTTCGATCTAATTCTACTGCTATAATCCCAGAAACTGTCCGATCTTCTCCTTCCAATCCATTATCTGTATATCCATGTGCATCAGCATCAGCTGCAAGAGACATGTCATGCCCAGTACGCAAGGACATCTGTCGCTGTTCGCCTGATTCATATGACCCTCATTGTTCTTGCCATGTCTTAGATCTCCCTGAAATCCTTCGTTCGGACCATGCGCTGCCGCTCAGGCGGGGGGACCTCATGCTCTCAGAGCACGATGGCGAAGTGTTGGTGACCGCTTCTACTCCACTACAGCTTCAAATACAAATCAACGAAACTCTCGTTTTGCAAACACACCTCTCTACCTGCACTATTGAGGACACCAACATAATCGGATGCCTAGATTGCACAGAAGGAGCCACAATGTCAATGAAGTGTTCTACCAATTTTGGACCCACCACCGCCAGATTCGAATGCGACAGTACTATTATAAAGGAAATCGAGTGTATAACTGGGGAAAGAATATCAACCTCCATCTACTCCACTACCTCCGACATCAACGAAGATTGTAAGGCAATTTGCGTGGGAGGCGAAACCCAATTCTCCCTGAAGGGCAAGTTGGCTATAGCGCAGCCCATTATCCCATCAGATATGGAACGGGCGGCCAAGGACCTGACGCCAGAAGTCGTCAGCGTGTGGGAAGCATTGAAGGATATCTGGGGTTCTTATAAAACAATATTCATAACAGTTCTGTCTGTAGGATTGTTTCTGATCGCCGTCTATCTACTCCAATTGTTTATCCCCCTGTTCATGTTGGCCGGGGAGTGTCTCCGAAATAGACAGCCCCGCCCCCAATTGACCCCTCTGCCTTTCCGCCGTGTCCACGGCGGTCAAAGGCCTTGAGAGGGGTCGGGCCATTTCGGTCTTCAAAAACCGTCTTTACAGTATATCTTATAATATTTTACGTTATTTCGCGTTGTTATTATAATATGGTTTATTAACCCAAGTTTGAGGTTGTCCAATAAAGACTTCATTCACAAATGAGCTTTTTGGCTTTTGCTCGCGAAGAGCGGGATTTTCTCGCGAAAAACGGGGTTTCTTCGCGAATTTCTTCGCAAAGAGCGGGATTTCTTCGCGAAAAAAGGGATTTTGTCAGAATTTGACGGCGAAACGTTTTAATTGTGTTTTAGATCGCATAAACACAGGAAACGATCTAACACTTCGCAAAACTGAGACAAAAATACGTTTTTTGAGCATCTAAATGGCCATTTCAGGTTAGAACTCGCTGCAAAGTATCGCCAATTGTTGAAAAAAATTATTTTAGTATAATTTGGCAAAAATTCGGGATTTCTTCGCGAAAAAAGGGATTTTTGTCAGAATTTGACGGCGAAACGTTTGAATTTTGTATTAGATGATCAGGAATCGCATAAACACAGGAAATTTTGCAGTTTGCACTATGCAGTTTTTTTTGCTTTTTGCACCGTGTAATTCCAGTTATCGGATTTCCAGTGGTTCTCTCCGGTTTTCAGCGGTATCCGCAACGGACAAACTCGTTCCAGACAACTCTTATCCGCTGTGTTCGACCTCTACGGACCCAACCATCAATAAAGGTATTCTAGTTAGTGTGAAGCGAACACACTAGCTGTGCTTAATCAAGACTAAATATTATTTTTCATTCGTTTATTGGAATATTGTGGTAAGGCAAATAGGACAGAAATTTAGTGTATCCGGTTAACGTCTACCGGCGCTGCTGAAGAATGATTTGAAATTTTGTGGAATAACCGGGAGTCCCACCGATTGTCCAGTACTGCTTGCCTGCGAGCTAGTGGAGGCTTCATGAGTTGGGCGGCTGGTCCGGAACCCACTCAAGCTTGGAGCAGGGCATCACCACTATATTAGTCTGAAATAAAACTTATAGCATTACAAACCCATTGTGCGGTTCTAAGATGACCAAGCTTACATCGAAGTTTTTCACATCTCCATCATCAAACAATTTTTGAACCAGTGGAATTTGACCATGAAATCCGGAAGAATGAACGGCTAAAACAACACTGAAAAGCACGCAGTTCACTTACCGCTGTAGATTCGAAACTTATTGGCATCCTATCCTCACGACAATGTTTGATCAGAACATCCAGGGCGGTCAACCGGGAATGCAATCCAACCATTTTCTGTGGACGTCCACCTCCAAAAGATCCAACACGGAACAATCTAGAAGAAAAAAAAACTTTCGATTGACATTTCGCAACAACGAAATGTCAATATCGATAAAAAGGATTGACGTGCGGAAGCCTATTTTTGTTTTTGATTTCGTAAAAAATGCGAAGTTTCACGTTCACCTTTTTCGTTGCGCGGCGGCTTTTATTATTTGACGTGGATGAATCCCACCTGCTTATGGAGAACTGGATAGCTCCGAGCCTGAGGATGAACAACTCAAAACTCTTGAAGAAATGCCGCAATGATGGAAAAATGAAACGTCGGATGAAAACGAAGCGAGAAGATCCATTACTTTCCAAACCAACCGGAAGATGATAAAGGCTGTGATCGTCGTTTGCAGTATAGCAAAACACAGAAAAAATATCAACAAATAAGTCGTCGCATCAAAGTTGAGAAGGTCCCACTGATACTGAATGGACGCGAAGGAGTTTATTTTATCGGTTTCGACGACGGTAAGCGGTTCATTTCTTTTCTATTTCGCTTTTAGGCCTGTCGCTAAACAACAAAACCGTACCGGATAGCCCAAACAACGTATTGATTTACAACGACGGAATGGACTCCATCAATCGGCTCGCCAGGAAGCCGAAGAATACCCGGTGGACCAAACCCCGTGCTCGCTAGAATCTCTTCAGCCGCTCGGAAAGCACTGCATCTCGCTCGGAAGACGCGCTTAGCACGGACACCCCATCCACATCCTCCAGCGCGGCATAAAAACTTCGTTATATTTATTTAGGTAGGAAAATTATCGTTAGCGTTTATTTATTAGTTATTTATTTTGTATTACGTATCTATTTTTATGTGGGAAAATCAAAAACGGGGAAAGTTGACTTTTTTTGTAAATTTTTTATTCGATGGCATAGGAAAAATAAAGCATTTTGTTATGATTCATTCGGACGTTGTACTTGCGAAATCCATGTTGTGCGAAAAAATCGAATCCACATCGAATTAATTTGACACTCCGTCTTTTGGCTTTTCGCGACACCCGCGACCGACAATAATTTTTCTTTTTTTATCCTTTTTTGACGTTTATAGCCAGGGTTTGATGAAAACGGCAAAATTTTTGCCAAACTATACTAAAATAATTTTTTTTCAACAATTGGCGATACTTTTCAGCGAGTTCTAACCTGAAATGGCCATTTAGATGCCCAAAAAATGTATTTTTGTCTCAGTTTTGCGAAGTTTGAAGTTTCCTGTGTTTATGCGATCTAAAACACAATTAAAACGTTTCGCCGTCAAATTCTGACAAAAATCCCCTTTTTCGCGAAGGAATCCCGCTCTTCGCGAAGAAATTCGCGAAAAAATGCGCGAAGAAACCCCGTTTTTCGCGAGAAAATCCGCTCTTCGCGAGCAAAAACCAAAAAGCTCATTGATTGGCCCGCCGAAAGCGGGGGCGGAGTCAGCTAAAAGTGCCGGCACAACTGTATTCTTGCCAGCAAAAAAAGTGGGCTTCGGCGAACTCCAAAACCTGCCGGCTTAAAAAAAAGAAGTGATGGCGACTTTTTTTTTGAACCGAAAAAACGGCGTTCTGGCAGATTTCGGATCTCGCCGGCTGAAAATGGACGGCAAATTGAAGAATCTGAAAACTGACAAAAATGGCGGCGAAATCCGATAGAATTTCCAAAAAAAATTTTACAGATGTAATACACCAGACTTATATGCTGTTTTACCACCTTCTAAAACTCAGCAGTTTTCATTGCGAAGCAGCAAGCTACGTGACCGTTGTCGCACATATCTTGGAATATAAAGCTTGCAATTTGAAAGAGTTTGCATCAAATTGTTTTTTATTCACATTGACCGCTGGCAAAACACGCCCGAATAATTTATTCTTGATCAATTTTTCTAGTAATAGTTTTAAAAATCTATTGTAAATTGCTTTATTGAGGAAACTATATTTTTTCTTTTGGTTAATCAACAGTTTTGTTAGCGCCCTCGGTCGTTGAGTGAACTTTTGATTCGTATCTCTCCAGGTCCTTCCCGCTGCATCTTAGAATAGTCAGCAATAAACGTTTTGTGATCCTCCGGTATGAAGGAACACATATAATTACTGATAGCGCATTTAACGTTGGCAATGTATGCACTGAGACAATCAGGATGTTTCCTAACCATTTGGAGCTAAATCCGATGATTGGAGACGTCGCAAGGATAAGACAAGGAAGTCCAAACACAACTGTTGGGTAGAGTGCCTAAATTATTGCTTGGTTCGGGTGGTATCTGCTTTACCTGCAGCATCATGACTCTTCCCATTTGCTTTTGAGCTCTAAGAGTGGATCTTGTCACGTCTGTGCCAAAGCGTTGCAGATAGCGCTGCGTTCTCTTGCGGTAAAAGTAGGTAAGGACATAACTTAAAAGGACCGTTGTGTTGCAGCTTCCAAGATGCGGGATTAACCAGACATTTGCCTCCTAGAACACTTACTGTAGTGTTTGGTCGGAAACAAGGAAGTGTAGTCTAATAACCAGTACCCTTACCACGTCTCCAACATAATAATTGCGACCGGCGTATTGTTCGAAACCATTGTCGATTAACAATTTGTCGTATTTGGGGGATGTTCTTTGGAATGTATAAGGTAAGATGCTGCAATGCACCACCATGTATGATGATGCCAGTAACAGAGGAAGTAAGACGGTCTTCAACGATGTGTCGGAAGAAGTCACCACTCGGTAGCGGTAGATAAATTGAACTGGAACGAAGAGAATGCACAAAAACATTATGAAAATTTGAAAGCAGTACGCAACAAGTCCGTAGAGCGGGTACATGTCGGCTAAGGGATTCCGAATGACCATGATTACTTGATGGCCTACCAAAGCGACGGACTGGAATGTAGTCAAGGTTAGTATTCAATATTATGCGAAACGAAATTAACTTACACACGTGGACATGACGTTGGATACAATGTAGAAAATGTCAAGGATACTGTTTGTGATTATAACCTTCGAATAAGTTTTGACTTGCTGGTTCGGCGTCCGACAACAAATCAAATAAATGACATAGCACGGCAAGATAAAGCCAAAAACATTGTTGAGCCAGTCCATATAAATGAGCTCCATGGAGTTCACCGTGATCTGAAATCAATAAAATTTTACAGAGGTATTATCATGCAGGTTGTATGCTCTGTAATGCTATAAAAAAAGTACAGAGAAGATGGCTTAAGCATAAATTAAGGGTAAAATCATCTTCTTTCCTGAAAAGCACAGAGTTTCTAAAAATTGCGGTCTCCAAAGAAGGAAAAAGTGCTTACAATTTGTGGTGTCCTCGGCTAGACACAACAGATGTTACTGAACTAAAAAGTGTATGTTAGACTGTGTCACGCCAGTCTAAAATACATTGTCCTTGGATTTTGAACTACAGCTATATGGTTTGCCCTAATATGATATCTTTTATTTGTAAATTGTCAATAGACTACGTGCCATATTTGGTCCAACTTGGTAAACTTTGGACCGACTTAGAAGGGAATGCAAGATTGCAACAACATACATAATTCTGTCATTCGAAGACTGTAAGTTGACAAATACTTCTATGTATTTTTTTGCGAGAACTCACAAAGAAAAAAGTGATTCTGTTTTCTTTTGGCTCTGAGAAGACTTTACTGAACGAATTTTCAAAAGGGCAGCTTATAATTTTTAAAAAGCTTGCAAGGAAACAAATATAGAAGACAATCTCATTTTCCTTTTCTGTGTGTGCGGTCTCAATAAACCCTATCCTAAATCTTGTGCCTATTCTCGATACCTATCTACACCCAGTTCACCAGATATTAAGAACCATCAAATTGATCATCCATTAGTTCTGCTGCCACTTCTCCTGTCTGTGGTTGATCCCACCGTCGAACCAAATGAAAGCTTAGAGTCAATTGGTTTGCAAGCCAGAACACATCTTACAACTCACATTGTAAACCGTCGATATGAAGGAACGCAGATGATTACGGACAAACAATTCAAGATTGGGGTTGTACGAACGCGGAAAAGTGCCACCGAAGCTCTCTGGCATACCCTTTGCAACAATATTTTTGCGGGCAAAAATATGCCTTTTTTGTCATTTTACGACCTAAAACAACCTACCTGTAGCACTAAAACTTTTGTAATCTGTTCTTGAACTCTCACAAAGGAAGTCGTTCAGATCGCAAATGAGTTGAGCTATGGGACCGATATATTATGATTCTCCATATTCGAAAACGGTAAGAGCTGAAACAATTTTTCCGTCTGAGTCCTAGTTTTCGAGAAAATCGATCGTAAAGTTTGACCGGAAACCCCGTTAAATAGTCGTCGCTCCGAAAGTCCTTTGGAACAAGAGCAATGATGGCGGAGGGCGAGTGAAAACGCTATCAAAATTCTTTTGTTCGGGATGCCGGGGAAGGTTCGAGTCCCGCTCGGCTCAAACCCCCATGTCCAAAGAGCTTTGATATTGAAAGTGATAAAAAATAAAAAAAATTAGTTTTTTGTGGTGAAGTGTACCCCAATAATTTAAGATAAAATAGTTTTTTTTAGAAGTAAACACACACAGAAGATTTCACTTTCAATATCAAAGTTCTTTGGACATGGGTTTGAGCCTAGCGGGACTCGAACCCTCCCCGGCATCCCGAACAAAAGAATTTTGAGAGCCTTTCGGAGCGAGGACTATTTAGCGGTAGAGGTGGCAATCGGGCCGGGCCGGGCCGATTTTTGCGGCCCGGCCCGCGGGCCGAAGTGACCAGGCCGGCCCAGGGCTTTTTCAAATTTGCCCAGGCCCGGCCCGGTGAAAGCCCAGGCCGGCCCGGCCCTGTTTGGCCCGCTAATACAAAAAAGTTGGATAAAAGTCTTTGGACTTTCTACTGGAAGTTCTTATGCTTTCCAGAAGGTTTTTACGTGTGTATAAGTGAAACTAAAACGTCTGGTCGGATGACTGGAACCGCCGAAGAGGTAGCTAAAACTTAGCCAAAAAGTTGTGCCGAATTTTTTAATCCTCTAGGAAGTTAGCTATATAAAAACATGGACGTTAGAAGGCTACATGTTATTAAATCAAAAACTGTTTAAACACTTTCATTTACATCAAGGCATCAAAATTACAGTGAAATTTTTAAGTTTATCATCAAGAAATTCGAATATTTTTGCCCGACCCTTGCATATTTCTCTGGGATTTTACATATACATAATCAGGGATTTTAAAGAGTTTTAATAGGTAGTAAAACAGCATATAAGTCAAAAAGGTTTAATCTAATATCCGTCCTCAATTCTGCAAAGCATTTGTGCTTTATTTTGATGGTTTAGTATTAAATTTTTTTTAACTTATCCACCTTCCGGGCCGGGCCGGGCCGAAAGCCACGGCCCGGCCGACGGGCCGAAGCGGTCAGGCCGGCCCGGGGCTTTTTCAAATCTGCTCAGGCCCGGCCCGGCCCAATCACCGGGCCCGGCCGGGCCGGGCCGGCCCAGCCCGATTGCCACCTCTATTTAGCGGGCTTTCCGGTCAAACTTTACGGTCAATTTTCTCGAAAACCAAGGCCCAGACGCAAAAACTGGTTTAGCCATTACCGTTTTCGAATATCGAGAATCAGAATATATCGGTCCCATAGCTCAACCATTTGCGATCTAAACGACTTCCCTCGTCAGCGTAGCCTTGCTTAATCTGACGTCAAATCTTTTGAGGTACTTCTCTTATTTATTTCATATAATAAATATAAATCAGGCTGTAACTGATGGCCACCATTACCATGCAATCCAGTAAATGTGGTATCAGCCATAAACATGCCTCCTGGAATCGTCAAAGTTCCGTAAACGCCAACTTTTTTGGTCTAATTGAGATTGTAAAGACGCTTACAACATCTCCGATTTTAATATTGCAGCCCGAGATACTGCTGAAACCCGTGTTCTAGAAGTATTTCATCGTACATCAGGCTGGTTTTTCGAAATGTAAGAGGCAAAAATGAACAGTGGATCAGAAGATACGTTGACGCTAGTAATAACGGGAGTAAAACTGTGGTGAAAGAAGTGCTCTCCGCGATAGCGATAGATGTATTGGACTGGAAATAGTAGAACTGACAGGTAAATAAAGAAGATTTGAGAGGCAACTCCCAGGTAAACAGTGATTGGATGGTCTGGGATATAGAGATTGCGAAGGACGAGGAAAGCATCGCGATTGGCGAGGATCATCGTCTGAAAAAGGGCGATTTTTGTGGTCATTTCGACTTTTAGTGAGATATGTTTAATGCAATCTGTTTCAGATTTTTGTTCTTTTCGACTTGCAAATTTTCCTTTTTAACAGGTGCTAATGTACCCGGTGATATAGTGGGCCATGCCAAAAAATATATATATATATATCTAGTCCCTCCATTCTTTAGTCATCTTTTTTATCCATTAAAACCGACTAATTTTTTAAGCTTTGTTAGGATAATTAGGAACAGTGTAGATAGTACACTATCTAGATGCAATGGTCCCAACACGAAAACCATGAGGACGAAGAAGCCACGTCAACAAAGCAACACGAGGATTTTTTGGCTGAAAAAAAGCAGGGTGTGATTTGATTTTTGGTGAGATACAGTTGGTTTTTGAGTTGCCCTTTGTTTATTTAGTAGTTATTAGTTTTAGGTTAGATATTATTTGAGTATTATTTTGTCTCCTCTAGATAGTTATTATTTTGTCCTTTTTAGATAGTATTATTTTGTCCTTTTTAGGTATTATTTTGTCACGTTAGACAGCTAATTTGTCCCTCTTTAGTTTAGTTTATTCGTCTCTTCGAGTTTGTCCAAGTTACTCCTTTTGACGTAGTCTCTGTCTTGATAATAGTTCACTTCGCTTTATTGTATTTCGTCTTCTGCGTGTTTAAAGTTGATAAAGTGGTCAATAAACCGACATCTTTAACTTATCGGATATTGAATTGTATTGAGAGATCAGGTGAACCAAATTAATTGGATTAGCCGCTAAATGAGATAAGAGGCTGGTGTTTATCCCACAAAGAAGTCCGAAGAATCTACGTTATATTCGGTTACGAGCCGACCAATAACGTTTACATCGCGACCACGGTTATAGGACAAGGGACATCACCAAGAACCTCTACCCCAGCGGGAGAGCGAATGTTTCCACAAATTCCAGTTGATCATGAAACGAACACTTTGATCACGACCTTTATAAGAAGGGGAATCTCTCAAAGAATTAATTATTTAATTGAACGCCTCTCCGGGTTAACAGTTTGTATTGAATCGGTCGAGGAGAATTGTAGAAACACAAAAACTCAGACGGAAAAAGAGAGTAAGGTGAAAAAGATTATAAGCATCCTTGAATCAGTAGGCAAATATAAGGCCACAGTTGATAATTGCATTGAATATTGGAATGAACGCATTGAAAACACCCCACATATAAATGCAGAACATGAGAAGCAAAAACTGCATGAATACACACAGTCTAAAAAGTACATGAACATTTGCTCACTTTTCAGTAAAATGCAAATACGCACAAAAAACATTATTGACATTCACAGGTTAGATATCAAGGTTACGCCTGACATCTTTGGAGATATTGCCATCAGCTTATCAGAATCGTTGGCAGAGATTCAACCTCAAGATACAGAAGATGAGGAAATCGATCAGATCGAACTAGATATCGCAGAACTCCAGTTAGACCCTCTTTCATCTGACCAGAACAGAGCCACGCAGAACATTTCCACACGTCATACACTGTTCCCAGAACAGTCCAATCACGCGTCGAGAGACTCGCCATTCAATGAGCTAATACAAAGAGCCATG